GGAGCCGCCACTCGGCTGCTGACTTTCCAAATTAATTTTTAAGGGTCCAAGGGCCGAAGCTTCTCATTTGATACACGCCTCGATCCTCTATCAAACTCGAAACCGGCCACACCGCCCCCTTGGCCCTCTTCTTTCGCTCGTTTCTCGCTCTCTCGCCTCGTTTATTCTCCGCCGGAGGATAACCCTACCCGAATGCGACTCTAGCTTCGCGGTTGCGTCGCGGCGAAACGAACAGCGTAAAACTCGAACGTCGCATAATCAATTTGGACGGTACCCCGAGTAAGCGGGTAATAAAGAAAAGGCGTGCACGCGCCTCGGGATAACCGCAAAACGAACGACGCGCACCGATGGCTCGTGACGCGAACGACAGGGAAATCGGGCTTGCCAACGATGTACGTACAAGTTCATCGCGCACCGAACGGTGTATTCCGTGGTGCGTGCATTTTTCATTGTCTCGTGTGTCTGTCGCGGGGTGCGCCTTGAAGAATGCACGTCGCGGTGCACGCTGCACGCGACCGCTGCATTAACGAGAAAATTGCTCGTCGCGTTCTTCCGACTCTTTTCTTCCCCTCTATCCGACTCGTCTTGTTCGAATCGCGACGTCGAAACGTCCTTCGTTCCGCGCAACGACGATTTCGATCTTTACGTTCTATGCAAGTTGCATAGGGCCGCGAATCGATTCGGTCGCTGGGCGAAAAGGATACAGGCACCACGGTTACGAATTAACGCGACGACTGTCGCGGTAAAAATGACCAGGCGCAGCGCGACCGGTCAAAGGGTGAAACGTAATTGGTGCAACGAGAAAAAACGAGCAACGATCAAGAGAAGAAGTCAGAGGAGGACGAACGGCGCGACGCGACGGTCGGCCTAATTAAGAAGGGCCTCGAATTTCCCGTACATTCTCACGGAAAATCCTTCCAGCTAAGAGAATTTACGAGGCAGTCGTCTATCGTTGCTAATTCCTGCAAATATTTGCCGGGCAAGGATATAGGCGTGGGCGAAATGAATAGGCGTCGGAAGGACGCGAGAGGGACGAGAGACAGAGCATAGAGAGGGACGGAGAGAGAGAGAGAGAGAGAAAGCGTGGATGTATGCACGGGGATTTGAGCGAACGCGAAGGGACGGGAAGGAGGACGAGGACGAGAACGAGGACGAGGACTAGTCGGCTCGCAGGCTCGTTCTCTCCTTCACCGGTACCACGGACGCCCCAGCGACGCCCCAGCGACGCCGCGCCACACCGTTGACGTCGTCGAGGCTGCCGTCGACCGGCTGGAGTTTCACGCGGCAGAATGCACCGCGCCACGGCAAATTTCTAATCAGATTAACGCGGATTAGCAAAGTTCGTTTGTTCTAATGAAATTCGTCTAAATTAACGTCGGAAGAGGGAACGTCGCCGGAGGAGGAACACCGGGATCGGGTGAAAAGGGTAGCGGGGAAACGAACGGGATCCAGAGTCGGAGGTGAACGGCAGCCGACGAAGAAGCAACGCGTCTTGCTCGGCCTACTATTTCCTCTTCCCGTTTCTATCTCCTCGCTCTTCTTCCTTTTCCGATTCGACGTTCGCGAGTTCCTACGCCCGATGCGGATCAACGATTACGCCTGTAATACGACTAACGCGTCATCGATGCACTCGTGCCATTAGCGCGCCCGCTACCTCCACGCGCGTGGATGACAACTGCGGTGCCCTTGTCAAAAATATGTATAAAGCGCGGAATATGTTTCCCGCTTTAATTAATTGCAGCTGCTTCTTTAGTGTCTTGTCTCGGCTCGTGGCGTGCGAATTATACGCGAGTAATTGTTATATGTCAATATAATTGTTATATGCAAAATAAGAATACATAATTGTCGGGTTGCCTCGACACGTGGCCGTTGTTCCTCGAGGTTCAACTGGTAGGGGCTGGCAATCGAGTTGCCCGGAGAGAAACCTACAATTCGTTCGATTCCGTGATCAATCGAACGAACAAAGGCTCGCGACAGCGTTTCGGAAGAGGGTAAATTCGTGCGTTTAGTCGATACGTTCGCGATCAACGAGGGCGATCCGATTAAACGACGAGAAGAGACGGAGTCGAGCAGGCGCGTTAATTGTCGTCGGAACGATTCACGCAAAAATACGCGAATCTCTGCGCGCACGCACAGCGATCGCGTGCGCGTATTCTCAGCACACGCGAGTCTCTCCTCCTCTCTTTGCGCGTTCGTTCATATTTTATTCACGGATATCGCGCGTAAACTATTCCACCGATAGTCTCACCCGGTTGCCGCGTTCAAGTTTCCCTCTCTGTCACCGACCGCGCGTAAGCGAACACAAACAACGCGTGGTTTATTCATCCGGTACACGAGGATGCGCCGAAAACACCGGAATCGAGCTACAACGTTGAATTCATGGCAAACGCTCTTCTTCGAGAAACGCGCCGCGATCAAATCGTTAATCTATACGACGATCGATGATCCAACTTTCGTCGATCTTTAGTTTCTAATTTGTAAGTCGAAAGTTAGGAGGGCTGATTGGGGGAATCGAATCGCGAAGAAATCTCGTTCAAGATTCGCTTCCAAGTTCGATAAACTCTCTGTAGCTTCGTAATGATTTTAACACGCGATCTGGCAATACGGCGAAAAAGAAAATAACGGGATAATTTTCAAAGGAGAAACACAGAGGGTAGAGTTTGAGCACGCGTATGTACAAATCGTGCAGAATTTACAGAGAGGTAATCGACGCGACTGGAGGTCGGTCCGTAGAACACGAGGACAGGATAGCGGGTCCTGTTTGACGCATTGACTCGTCATTATCGCTTAACGAATCGTCCTGTCCGATCGGTAGGACGCTTTTTAGCGAACGGCTTTATTTGTGTACGATCCGGTGGTAGTCGTCGTTCAACGAGCAACCGTTTCTCCCCCTCTTGACCGTTTTCACATCCGTTTTCACGAGTAGCTCACGCTCTTTGCCTGGTCACCACTTTTTCGTCGTCCCGTTTTATTTCATGCGGGACTCTACAGGTAGTCACGTACGATACACGCTCGATTCAAGCGACCGTCCAGATAAATCCTCCTCTCGAATAGTCGCGTCCACGCGACGAAATATGTTGCTCCACCCTCCCTCTCTTTCGTCTCTCGAATTTAACGCGAATCTTTCTCTAAAACGTTTAGCCGCGTTCGATCCGATTTCATTCGCGATTCGACTTACTCGACCGACCTAACCCGCGCCCTTTTTTTCCCTTTTAGCAACGCGGTACCTTTCAACCGTATCGTTTTTGACTTTTTCATTGTTACCGTATTTTATCGAACTAGTGCGCGTACACGTTGGTTAAATCGTTTCGCCGATACCGAAACGGTTCGAGCGGAAGGAAAGACTCGGTATATATATTTGCGTTTCGATCGCGAGGGCTTTCTTTCCTTTCGACTTTAGCTCCTTCCCGTGCTCTCGACTCCTCGCGAGCCAAAGATAACGACCGCTCGGAGTCCAGCGCCGGTATAAATACGCGTTCCGTGTATATTATTTCAGCAAAGTTGAGTGGCCTCGCCTCGCGATCTCGCGAAATCGTTCCAACTGTTTCCTCGCCGTGCAAACGCGAAAAGACGTCTTGCTGTACGAAACGCGAGGAGACCGACAGAATTTTACTCCCCGTTCGACGACCTGTCAAGATCGTGATGTAATATATAAGGAACGGATTATCCGCTGAATAATGGTGCCTAGACTGCGTTAAGAGGCAAGCAACCTTGGTGGTCGGCGAGCGAGAAACGCACACGCGCGCGCATGTACACGGTGTTAAGAAACTAGTTATCGCGGCTTACAGAGATGATTCTCCGAATCATGTTCCTAAATTAATTGGCTAAAACAGCGCTGGGACGGCGTTCGTAGATAACGAAACGACCGCGAGTATATCCACGCTCGTTTGCAGATATTTTCTTACTTTTG